TAAAAAACTATATATAATATGTGTGGGTACATTTAGTAAGAAAGTATATTACTGCTGTGGAAGAATCACACAGCAAAAATGTAAAAAATGTGTCAGTCATTTATGAACAGAACCTGAAAACTAGCTCAGTCATGAAGGGGTTAAAGGCCATTCTGTAACCTATAGAATTATATACATTACATTGTATCTGAAAAACTATACTAGAAGATCTTCCTTCAACCATTCTTGGCATTCCTAAACTCATTAAAATAATTATCTGGCCGCTACACAATTTCTGGAACACACAATATCTGGCAACCACATCTATGAACACAAAACCATTAATGGACAGCAGAAGCTGTTCTCCACTTATGTTTTTCCTTCTGGTTTTCTAAACTTCAGGATAAATTGTCTGTGGATAACACATTAAACAACTGCGCCTAACTCATAAGTACTGTTACATGTAGCTGAAATGGTGATTTGTAGAATGCTATGCACTAAAATCATAGCACATTTATATTTATTTTCCTTGCATTTCTTAAAGTGACACTAAACTCAGCAGTTGTATCCTAAAAATGTATTCAAGTACCTAAACTATCAACAAAAATTTATCTTATTTGTGTATCACTCAGCTGTAGATCCTCAAATCATCTCTGAATTCATATTGACGCTGTCCTTCCTTCTGGAGGGTGGCTACTTCTGTTCCCCACGACCTCTGTGTGTGTTGTAAAGTAGCCACTGCTCCAAGCTCATTCCTGAGATGGACTACAATCTCACATTTAGTTAGTAATTTGTATTGAGATTGTAGTCCATCACGGGAGCAAGCTTGGAGCACTGGCTACTTTACAACACATGGAGGAACCATGAGGAACAAAAGTAGTCACCCTCCAGAAGGAAGGACAGTGTCAGCATGAATTCAGAGATGAGTTGAGGATCTGCAGCTGAGTGTTACACAAATAAGGTTCAGTATTGTTAAAGTGGACCTTTACCCATTATCCTTAAAATAACATAACAAACACACCTTTAGACGTTTTTAGTAATGACAATCTACAAACACATACTTCTAGATAATTCCAGGCTTTGTATTCTTTGCATACCTTTTTTATCTTTTCTTTCCCAGTCTTCTGGCAGTGGCCCTGTTAACTAAGGGCAGATTACTAGCTCTCCACTTACTTCCTTGAACTCAAGCACATGTGACTAGGACATGTGACCATGCACATCATCTCAAGGGAGAAAAATGCCTTTCCCTGAGATCTCATGAGATTACAGATGAGATTTCCCAGCAATGCTCTGCTGATGTAATCTTCCCAGGATGCAACACTTTGGCACGTACATCATTTGTGCCAGAACTGGACCAGGAAATAGATGAACTCTATTTGTAAGTAAATGAAAAACAAGTTTGTTGAACTAATGAATGTAAGATTATTTTAAATCTGCATGCAGAGCAGCATGCTGATGTGATTTTTCGTAAAAGGGGGTAAAGATCCACTTTAATAGTTAAGGAACTTGAATGCATTTTTAAGATTTAACTCCTGAGTTTAGTGTCACTTTAATCAGATAAAATATGATCCGTTTAATACATACTAATTAACATGTTGATGTCTGACTCTTGTCACTTTATAGCATATAACAAAATTATAATTTGCTTTGCTGAAACCATTTCAGTTAACTATTAGTAGTAAAAAGATAAACATATTTACCTGAGTTGGTGATTTCTTTTCTTGTAAATTTGGACGGACGCTTCTAAAGCCTTTTGCTGCAAGGGAGGAACCACTTGAATCACCATTCAGTGCATCTTTGATACAATCATTGTAAGATCTCCAGATATCTAAAGTTAAATCAAATGATGTTTACAGCACCATAAATGTGACCCCAGTGAATAAGTGTAGATATCTACCAGCTACTGTGCATCTCTGATGTAGATTGTAATCCCCAGTAAAACACTCATGAAAAGCTATACAACAAAAACATCTGTATACCTGAGTCAGGTGAATACGACTCCTGCCCTGTAAAAAGAAAAAGTGTATACTTAATCAGCATATATATTAAACATACACTAAGAAAGAGGTTAACTAAAGGGCCAGTCCACCCAAGACAGATTTTTCTGTTCTTGGTAGAAGGAAAGTGTTTTTGTGTATCTCAAGAATACTGGTGGTGATGAGATCTCCATGCTTCAACTCCCAGGTCTGTATTCTGTCAGCATGCTGAGAAGAAGTCACAATATATGGGGCAATATATCCTAACAAGAAATAATGAGGATATTCAACATGTAAATGTAAAAGGCAACAGTTCAAGTTCATTTATGAAGGTCACTGAACTGAACTCATACCTTTATTAAGTAGAACTCCAGCCAAAACCTCTTCTTGTTTTGGCATTGGCTTGGAGCTTGCAAAGTTTTTATTGCCGTTTTGTCCCCACTGAGTACGACTTCCATCATTTCTTCTCATTGTGACAGCAGGCCACTAAGACAGGAAGTTAGCGGAAAAATCTAACTTGGGGGTGCACTAACCCTTTAGTAACAAGTTCATTTAAACTTTAGACATTTAGGCAATTCTATTTTAGCTACACATTTCCTAAAAATCGTGATTTTAAAACTAGGGCCGCAACTAATGATTATTTTCATAATCGATTAGTTGGCAGATTATTTTTTGGATTAATCGATTAATCAGATAAAAAAATAAAATAAATACCATCCTTAATTTAAAATGAAATACACAAATGCAGTGTTACAAACAAAGTTTTCTTCAGAATAAAACTGCATGCACATTTTTTTGCAATCGCACTGCACTGGAGCGCACAGCACGTACCGTGCATTCCAGTGCGGGCGATTACAATGTGGGTGGGAGGCGCTTTTGGCGTGCCAATAAAATGAATGGCACTGTAACACATCTCCCGCAGCAGAATTTGTTATACCGAAACCGAAAATTACTTTTTTCCCCACCTTTTATAATTTTTAAATAATTGCATTGTAAGCACATGGCACTTGAATAGCTTCAGCCAGGGAATGACACCTGCCAGTGGCAAGATTCCACAGATGGCAGCTAAATGTAAATAAAGCAGGTAGTGGGCTGGTGCAATAGCAAGCCTGCTTTTGGCCATTTGAAATTGTAATAGACAATAGCAGGCTGGCTTTTGCACCCACCCACTGCTTGCTGTGCCCTACTCCCAGCATGGATGAGAGAGCTAGGGGATCCAACCAACTAATCGATAATGAGAATGGTTGACAACTATTCTCATTATCATTATTATTATTATCTCATTATTATCGATGCAGCCTTATTTCAAAACACCCACATTTAACATTGCTCAGAGCAAAAGCTTTTAAAATATGGCCATACAGTGGTATTTTAAGCTGTTAGTAAACAATGGATCCTGCCTAAGATACTCCTTCCACACATGCCATATGTATCTGTTTACTCACAGTCACTGGAAAGTTAATCTTTTGAAAATAGTCCACCTGGTACATTTACTTTTTTACACTTAATTTAATAAGGTCTCTATGGTCTTATGGTCTTTTGAAGCCTTCCTACAACAGTATTTTATTGTATGTTCTAAAAAATAGTTTTTAAGTAAAAACTAATTTTTTGGATTGTCACTGGAATACAAGATAAACATAATGCTGTAGTAGCTGGCAACAATTAAAGAACTATGGGGTGAGTGAATTATACTCATCCCCATAGTTGGAGCCGACATGTGACATTGAAGCTTTAACACATCGGCTCTATTGATCGGGAAGTGAGCAAATACATACCGCTGCTCGTTCACTTACCGATCATCTCCCTGCAGAGAGGCGACTGTCAGTCAACGCTCCCCACAGGGATTCTACCCCCCCCCCCCCTCCCGTCTCTGATCCTCCAGCGCTAACTGGAGGGACGGACAGGGAAGGGGGCGAGGCACAGCTGGCACTGTCTTTAGAGAGGCAGAACCAGCTGTCAATCAGCTAGCTGGGTGGATCTCGACAGTATTGTCGGGATCCGTCCCGGCTGTGGCACTCTTAGCATATAGCGGGCATTAGCCTGCTATATGCTTAGTTTTCGGTCACGAGAGGACACAGTATATGTATTCCCGTGAGCCTCAGGAGAACTATGGAAAAAAAATGTTGCCCCATAGTTCTCCTTTAGAATGAAAAAAAGAAAATAAACCAACAGATCAATATATTCTTAAATACATTCTTATATTCTATATATTTTGCTGTGTTGTAGCTATAAATTGTGGTTGAAAAGCTCCAATAAATAAAATAAGATAAGAACACTGTACCTACTAAGAAACATAGTGGAGTGTCGGTTAGGTATTGGGGCTGCTTTGCTGCATCTGGCATGGGGTGCCTTCAATCTGTGCGAGGCACAATGAAATCTCAAGATCATCATGGAATTCTGGAGCAAAACGTACTGCCTACTGTTAATAAGCTGTATCTTCTTAGTCACAGGATATGGGTCCTCCCAACAGGATAATGACCCAAAATTCCCATGAATGACTAAGAACTGGACATTAAACTGTTATGTAGTGGCTTCCATGTCCTGATCTGATTCCTACCAAGCGGCTATTGAAAAAGCTGAAACATGGAGTCTAGAGAAGGCACCCTTCAACCCTAAGACAGCTGGAGCAGTTTGCACAAGTAGAGTGGGTCAAATTACCTGTTGTCAGGTGCAGAAGTCTCATTGAGAGCTACATAAAGAATTTGTTTGCAGTGATTTCCTCTAAAGGATGTGCAACAAAATATTAGGTTCAGGGTCATATCATAAATTAAATATTGTAAGCCAAGTCTGATTTTATTAAATATGGATGAACAATGAGAAAATTGTGAGTTCTTCTGTTTTCATGGAAGGGTACCAACACATTTGTCCATTTCTCTATACAAGATTTGAACAAATTACACTGGAAAATTAGGCAGTCTGTGGAATCCAATCACAAGAACAAGCCGCAGAGGCCTGCTTTAAGTATGGCCAGATTTCAGAAAATGGCAGGGTGCCACTTGTTCTATTTTCTCAGGATTTGAGAACAACTATAATCAGATAGTAAGACAACAAATTAAACGATATTTGAATATTACATGCATTTATTTCTTACAAGGCATGTTAACTGTGAGATTATGTTAAATTATGGGGATGGTAAAGTAAAATGGCACTGAATTTCAGCCTTGGTCAGGAAGGAATTCTTTATGTAAACCCAATTGTTCAATATTGTGTCCAGCAGTACATTAACTGCTTACATTCTTATTGGAACATATGTTTTGCACAGTGTATGTACAGTAGGTATAGGTTCTGTTTACTCTTGTTTGTAGTGCTTTGCTGGTGGTGTGTGCTTTATACATTACCATGCATCTCTATGTAAAATGTATTTTGCTGGAAATTCCATCAACACCAGGATTCAACAGGTGCCTTCAATGCACCTAAAGTGCAGAGGTGGAAATACAGCCTGAATGTCCAACCATCATCTAACATTTACCGTACTTTTATTCTACCATCACAGCATAATTGTGTTTTACATAACTGGCCAGAAAGCAAAATAGGAAATCTGACCTGGAACCTGTATAACTCATAGTTTTAGAGATTTAGTACCAATTGCAATAGAGAGGCTTCTGAATGATGACATTGAGGTAGCCGGACTGAACGCCTCAGGATTAATGACTGAAACCGCTTCCTCGTGGCACAGCTTTACAGATATCAGGGTATTGCCAGGAAAGCATATTGCTGCTGAAAAGGTTAAATGTAATATATTTTCTTGCAGCAATACATTTTCACTCAGTGACTCATTTTCTGACATTTTAAAAAGGAAAATATAGCAATTATGTGTACAAAGATAGTCAATGATTCATCTATTGAAAAAAAAAAAATTACAATACTTTCACAGGTTTAGATTTGCAACTGTTGGGACAATACGCGGTCTTTGAATATGAGCAACTATTTTCAGCAAAAGAGCAAATGGCGTGCATTAAATACAAACTGAGCTTAGAATGCTACAACACTGCACTGCTCCAATTAACATATTGCTTTTTAGAAACCCGGTAAAGGAGGCATATAGCGAGGCTTCATGTATTCATACAATTGCTGATAACTAGAACCTAGAGAGATACGCTTGCTTTTGCAGGTATATACTGTATAAAAATGTATCAATGTCTTCAGCTTGATACAACAAATGAAATTAATCAGTTTTGTCATTACATTCAAAAATAAAATGGCTTTATTAGGAAGTGCTGAAAACTTCATGTTGAGATTTTAAAGTCACGTATAAAGGAAGAAGAAAGGCAGATTAAGCATTGTCCAGAGCAAATAATCAGATACTCTGATATTAGATAAATGACAGGCCGAATGAAACCCCACTTTCCCTTCCTGCAGCCTTTATACATTAGGCACATAGGTTTCATAAGGTCATTCACGTAGCTTGGTTAGTTTCTATACCTGAAGCCAATAGATTTGGAGAACTTTGCGCTCTCTTCACAGCTGTTAGTGTGACAGACATTGCAGCACGTTTACGAGCACATCCACCGCTATCTGGAAGCACACAAAGTGATAATGATGCAAGCCAAACACAGACATAGCAAGCACATGCAATGTAAACACTGGTACAGTGTGGCGTGTCAGCAAAAACACAAGTTTGTTAGATGAAGGTGCACACTTGTAAGTGTACTAGAACTGAACTTGTACATTTTCATGTGCTGCCTGCTGAATCTTACAGGTCAGCCTATCTGTGCATATTAGTCATTCGGTAGATAACACACATTGTATCAAAATGCAACATTTTTCCAAAATTGAGGGCTTCCAAAATTCTATTCCCCTAGCCTACTAGTAAAATCAAACTGTAAAAGCTAAATCCACTGGAAAATAAAGCATATCTAAACCCAAATACAGAAATTTAATATATTGGAGCTTACCAATCCTTAGATGTGGTGTCTGCATTCATTTCCTTTTTTACCTGGTAATCCCGCCAGTAACACACTTCCTTTACTAGGGCGAGCTCACTCGCTGTACTATATATATGTAGGAACAGCATTATCACCCTAGACTGTTGTCCTCATTTTGGACTATACACATCTCTCCCTCTCCTCATCTCACAGAGGGGAGTTGCTTTGTAGTTCAGAGAAGAAGAGAAGGCTGCTGAGAAGGCTGATAACATTATATAACCGTTTGCCATCCGGCCAATGTAAATACACGGGCGGACGGAGGATGCTTCCCGACGGGTGGACGTGCCTGTACATAATTTTTTTTTCTGCTCCCGCGCACCCCTGAACAGAAACTCGCTGGGTATGTAAACAGTCAGTACCGGCTGCTACATACAAGTGTTCAGCTGGCTCTAAAGACAGCCGATCGCTTGTATTACCATATGTACAATGCGCCCCCTCTGCTGCTGCCCTCTCTCCCTCCACCACCGCTGCCAGTTATCCTGGGCTCCGCTGTCCCCCTCTGCGGGCCCGGGACCGGCACAGTGGCTGTCTATACTGAGGAGGAGGAGAGATCAGCATTCCTCCACCGGTGATCTCTCCTCCTCTCTCTCTCTAAAGGTGGAAGCGATGTGTATTACATCGCTTCCACCTTTAGTTGTCATTTCTCTGGCTGCTATAGCCAGAGAAGAAGCTGGTGAAGCAGATCTCTGCTTCATCAGCTTCTTTGGGGGTCCCTAGGTGACATCCTCCTCCCCTGCAGCAATGAGGGACCGGTCTAAGAGCAAGCCGGCTCAGAGAATTGGGTGAGTATAACTTTGTTTTTTTACTTCCTAGACCAAAACAAGCACTTAAACCTTGCAGTCCAGGGTTAGCCCCACTGCAAGGGTTAATCATTTTTTCTTCTTTAAGATTTCAGTTCAGTGCACAGGAAGTGACCAGGACACTGGATTTTCAGGCAAGATCAACAGGTATTTGCCGTACTTGCTAAAAATGTTCTTAGCCTAAACAAATGAAAACTAATGCAATCACGTCTAAGGACTGGTAAACTGCAATATGCTCAGTTTTTGTTCTTGGGTTAAGAGGTTACGATATACTTTAACGTGATGGTTTAATCTGAGGAATTGAAGCAAACACCAACAGCTTGTATAAGGCTTGGAAACTGGTGGTAAGATTAGTAGAACAAGGGGGTATTAATGTTCGGTGAAAGAATGGTGCTTTGGTAACTGAACTACAAGGGATATATGTAAGCATTCCGCAGTGGCAGAGATATTTCAGATTTTCGATTATTTCTTTTTGGAGCATCAACAGCAACAGTGAAAACTCCGATAAACTGAGGAAAAAAAACCCCAAACTGCTGAAAAACATTAGCTTTATTATAGCTCTACCACTGTATTCCTGTTTAGATTTGCTCAGTCTGAAGTAATTCTTGGTGGAATAGACATGGAAGCCCATAGCACCAGATAGAGAAAGCACAATAAAGTTATTACATGTACTATATTTTTCAAAGTGCACTTACTACAGAAACTTCACAAAATGAATTTGATTCTTTCCAAAACTGAAAAGTAATTCATATATTATTTGCAAAAATGTAAATATATTTAAAATAGTTAAAATAATGAGGATATGCATTGTATATACAACTTTCATGCTATGGCTAACTGGCAGAGTAAGCTGGGAAAAGACAAAGGCATGTATTTATAAAAAAAATTGCGAAGCCCTGCAAAACTGCACGTACATTCGTTCTGTGTGAATGGAGGCAAAAACAAATGTCACTAGTAAATTTTCTTTCCAGGTCCAATGGTATATCAGGTAAATACCACATTATGGCACTAGAAGGAACGGAGGCGCATAGGAAAGTATTTATTTCGACCTGGAACGAAAATATACCAACACCATTTGTTTATGCCCCATTTGCATAGAATGAATGTACATGCAGTTTCGCAGGACAAATGGCTCTGCCAACTTTTGTGTGTAAATACATCCAAAAGAGTAATGCAAGTAATGTGACTTGATTAAAACTATGTTGTTCAGATCACTGCATGGGTAACTAACAATGCTGGAAGTAGCAAAGCCTCTTATATATTATTAAGACAGTCAGCTATTACAAGTTAAGAAATAAAATAATTCTATAGAGTATAAATGTTAAAGAATCGTTAGATTTTAAGAAATAAAAAAAAGGTATGTAGCATTGTTACAAAATTCTCAGATACAATGTAAAAATGTCTAAGCAAAAATATTTTGGTGGAAAAATTGACAAAAAAATATACCCAAAGGATTGAGTTACACATACCAGTGAGGGCAGGTTCACACCATTATCCGGACCAGCTCAGTGAGGCCAGATCTGGTCTGGAAAATGGTGTGAACCTGCCCGCAGTTCCAGTGCATTCCAGACCAGACAAAATGAGACATGCTGTATTTTCCTGGTCTGGTCTGGAACGGACTGCGCTGGTGTGAACAGAGGCCAGAAATAGCATAGGGATACATTAGGATGCATTTTGGGTCCGGAAACAATCTGGTCTGGTCTGGACATGATCTGGATGTGGTTGAATGGGCCCGACAGCCGAATTGGCGCAATCTGGTGCAAATACACGATACTAGGGTTTTTTTGTCTACGAGTGACTTACGATATATAATAAACTGAACATACATCTTCCCTGTTACAGTGGGGACAGGATTTTGAAAAAGTGAATTCTTAAGCAGACCAAAACCTTGCTATAAATCTAAATTACTTTATTGGCTCCCACTTACAACTTAAACTGCTTAAAAAAAGTTGTCCCATACTTACCTGCCCGCTGCTTTGGCACTTGTCGTTGTCAGCGGGTCACATGGCTGATGACAAAAGGTGAGATTTCTGATCAGGCAAAGCCACTGATTGGCTAGCTCTGCCTGAACATCACCAACAACTTTTTATAACAGTTTAATTTGCAGACAGCAGGGGACATTATAAAATAGTTCAGTTTTGTGTAATGTAGTTTATTTCTTCCTCCTATATAATACTATTACTCAATGCATTTCTATATGTGTATATGCAGGTAACAGGGTCACTTAACTTCCGCCTCCCCAGCAGCATACGCCTACCTATTCTTCACTCCCCCACCTTCATGTGACAGTGCTGGATCAAGGGAGAAGTGGAGTGAGTCATATGCTTCTTCATACTTGGAAAAGCCGGGGAGAGAGGAGAGCAAAAGAAGGTGAATGTAATCTGTTGGGGAAAGGGGAAGTCAAGTCACCCTTATAAATTGCCGTATGAAGGTGAAGAAAAGGGTCACTTTAAGGACTGACAAGAGATGGACCCATTAACAAACAATGAAGCAGATTTTTTCCACCAGTATCATAGCAAGCATGAACTGTAAAATGACTTCAATTAATCATACCTGTATTCATCTTGATGCAGCAGGATTAAGTGAAAGTGACGTCAGTTTGCCTGTTGATGAAGAAAATATTTAAATTTAGACAAATATAAATGACAATTTACGATAATTATACAATCTAAGATGCTGGCTGATCAGGAATCCAGTAAATTACATTTGTGGAACATACAGAAACTCTACACAGCCACCTGTGAATCAGAGATTGTTCTACAGAATAGTTTATAAAAGGACAAATGTTTGATTTCGCTTGGCTACGACAATTCTAGATGACAAATTAGAAAAATAGAACACAATTAAAAGGAAACATAACACAATCCTTGTTCGGGTGAATGCCAGCAAAATCTAACAGATTGTTCTGTTGACAATATCCAAATAAAATCCTATAACCCCCGATTACAAGTATGATAGAACATGGCTGTTGTTGGTAATATTGGCCAATTATAAGATAATTAAAGCACTTTGTAAAATACTATTTGATAAAAAATAACTCATCTTTCCTTATAGATAGCTTATGTCACAACCTCTTTACTTTGAGTTAAAGGGAAATGATCTCAGAAAGATCTTTTGATGAATGCACTCAACAAAGTCTATCTAATTGCAAACCTTTTTTGTTTATAGAATAGTGAGGGGTTAGAACCTCAGTTTGATTTGTATTGCTGCCTGTGTCCACGCTAGGGTGATTCACCCTCTCTATCTGTGCTAGTGAAAAGTGTCACTGGGACTGAAAGGGAAAATCATTAGACCAGGAATAGAGGAGAAAGCTTCCAAGGGGGACATTTGGATAGAATAATGTGGGGTCAGAACCTTAGGCAGAGAAAACTGCCAATTGTGGACATTTGTTCTGGTAACAACTAAAAGAGGATTTCCCCCATTTGTGAGACATTTCCCTACTTCCCATTATGTTAAAGAAGAACTTTGGGTTGTATGAAATCTTAACTCTTGCAGTGGGGCTACCCCCACACTGCAAAGGGTTAAGTGCTCATTTTGTCTAAGGAGCTAAAAAAAACCCAAAGATATGCTCACCCCAATCTCGGATTGGCTGGCTGCTAGACCAGTCCCTGCCGCCTCTCTCCCCCTCTGCTCCAATGATGAAATTTCCCTAAGTGTCCTTATATCCAATACACTGTGTTAGATGTGATGACTCACGGGAACTTAGACCGCTGGAGTAAAGGGGGGGGCATGGCTGAGGGGACCAGTCCAGGATTCAGCCAGCTGCGAGATTCGGGTGAGTATACCTTTGTTGTTTTAGCTCCCTAGACAAAATGAGTACTTAACCCTTGCAGTGCATAGTGTAGTCCCACTGCAAGGGTTAAGATTTCATATGCCCTGAATTCTTCAAAGGACAGAAAAGGAAAAAACAAAAAACAAAAGTTGTGGCTTTAGATACTTTAATGAAGCTTGTCATTAGCTCACCTACACACTGGACACTGCTTAGTGGTTAGCATATCTGCCTTTCTGCACTGGGGTCCTTGGTTTGAATCTTGGCCGGGTCAGGACACTCTCTCCATGCATGTTCTCCATTAGTTTGCATGAGTTTCCTCTAGGTACTCTGGTTCCCTCCCACTGATGGTAGGCTACTGGCTCCAGTTTAAGTTATGTGTATGTATGCACGTGGGATGGGGGCCTTAGATTGTAAGCTCCTTGATGGCAGGGATTTATGTGAATGAAAAGAACTGCCTAAATTGTTGGTGCTATATAAATACTTGTAATACATAATAATGTCTCCGATATTTGTGCCTCAAGGATGTCTGTTGGGGTCATTCATACCTTTTAAACACATAGTCATACACAGATGCTGAACAACAGGCATCCTATACCTTAGAAGGCATTAAGAAACCTTATGTGAGTGTTTCAGTCCAATTATCTCACTTCAAAATGAAATCCATATTACATGGGTTTGTTGTTCATCTAGGCTGACTAATAGCTCTGTGCCATTATAGACGAACCTCCCAGGATACTGTTGAAATCATTTTTAATGTTACGTGTTGCAATCAATTGCTGCATGTAATTTCCTTTATAGACAAGTGGATTTCTCCCATGCAGCCAGAAATCAACAAAAAGAACTGTTAAGTTCTGAGCCTGTGTACTATTCGACAACATTTTAACATAGAAAGAAAGCAACATCTTTACCTGTTCATCATCACAGCAAGAAAATATCATGCAGGAACATTTCCCAGCCATATGCTGTCTATAATTTGACTTTAAATAGAAGTAGAAAATTCATGTCATAGTATAGAAACACAGAAGTGCTTGTTTAAGCTGAACCTAAGGATTCCAAAAGGACAGAACACAATGAGCCAAGTACATAGAAAGACAGTAAATGGACAAGCTGTGAGCCAAATAAAAATAAGGGGCTTAGATTGTCAAAAGCAATGTTCTTAAAGTTACTTTCTCCAAATATGGTTGAAGTCTCAGTATTAGTTTCATTTTGTTGTGATTCAAAAAATGTATTATAGCCAATGAAAAACTAAGAAGATAAAATGGCTAATGCTGCAATGCAGCACTTATCTAGCAAATTCTGTAGTTGTAATACCAGTGTGGATGCTTACTTGATCTTACACTTGTACACTTGTTGCAAGAGCTAACTTTTTAAATAGCTGGGGGGCTCATTAAAAAAGATATGTACATTGAAATCTGTTCTATGTAACCCATAACATTATACCCTCACAATTAACTGCACCAGCTGAAAGTTTTAATCAGGCTAATCATGGGAATGCCCACCATAAGTGCTGAACAGGAGAAGATCAAATGGAAAAGAAGGTAAAATAAACAAACAGCATGCAAAATATACCAATGGGAACACTAGTTCTGGTGACCTTTGGAGGGATTTCCTCTTACTACCTGCTGTGGCTATAGGACAGAAAGTAAATGGAAATCTCCCCAATGGGACACTCATCTCTGTCCTCCCCACAGTTCACTCACTGCCTGCATGGGTCTGGTCCCTGCAATGTACTAGCCATTTATCTGTACAGAAGTAGTTTGCCCCATAGACTTCTAATAAAACAATGGGGCCAGGAAGCATGTTGGCAAAAGGTGAACTTCAGAGTAAGGGAGATATAGCAGCATTTCAAAAGAAGGACACCACATACAAGTGTAACTTGCAGAGTACACCTACCTTCCATGACGCAGAAGAGAGAATCTGTTGCCAAGAGAGCTTATGGATATGCAGCAATTTACTAACTGAAAGTTACACTAAACTCAGGAGGTAAATCTTAATTATTATTAAAAAAATGTATCTTATTTGTGTATCACTCGGCTGTAGATCCTCAAATCATCTCTGAATGGGTGCCGATACTGTCCTTCCTTCTGGAGGGTGGCTACCTTTGTTCCTCATGGTCCTTGTGTATTTTAAAGTAGCTACCACTCCAAGATCACTCCCGTGATGGACTACAATCTCATGCTTAGTCTCCCAATTTGTAGTGAGATTGTAGTCCATCACGGGAGTGATCTTGGAGCAGTGGCTACTTTACAAAACACACAGAGACCATGGGGAACATAAGTAGCCACCCTCCAGAAGGAAGGACATTGTCAGCACCAATTCAGAGATGATTTGAGGATCTGCAGTGGAGGGATACATAAATAAGATGCATTTTTGTTAATAGCTAGGGTATTTAAATGCATTTTTAAGATTTAACTCCTGAGTTCAGTGTCACTTTAATAAATGTTATCAGTGTTTTGATTCAAGTTACAAAATATTCACTTTACGTAAAGTAATATGCAATGTACAGAGCTATTGAACCCATACTGAAAGCTACGATAGCATCAGAAATTGAAAGTCAATGCCAAAACTGTTGGTTTTCAGCTAATGATTGCTCAGCAATGGCAGAATAATGTAAAATAAAACAAAACCCCTTTCTCCATTACTTCACTGTGCTTTACAACACTGACTTTAACCACATGTGACAGATTTGCATAAAAGTAAAAAAATAAATAAATATAAAAAAAGCCCAATGACTTCATGAAAGCAATAGAAATTATATAACCATATACATTATGGTGAGATGGGACTCAAGGAATCAAAAAGACCTGCAAATGAATCATCGCATCATTTTATTTTTTAAGAGATGTGCATTTGGCTGTTGGGGGTGTAAATGAATGATTTTCAAAGCCCCGCCCACTCTCCTAAAATAGGGATTAATTTGTTAATTTGATTATTTTGGGGATATGTGATAAAATGAGGCCTGTGAATACCTTCACTTTAAGGTTTTACGGTGCTACACAAAGAATGACTGTTGAATATGATGAGATAACGTTTGACGGTGCTTAAATATATTCATAGCAAATGCATGGTCTGCAGGCTCAACACACCCAGGTCCGGGTTACCACTTATATTTATCTTCACATATATTATCTATTCTTTAACTAGAGACATATAAAATAAAATGTGTGCACATATGGAAGCTCAGGCCACACAGGGTTCTTAGCAGCATCAGCAAAATGCCTGGCATTCAAAGTAAACTCATTTATACCCAGTTCACATAGTTTTTAAGCTGTCTAAAACTAGAGCGAATCCAATCATTTTTGTTCTGTTTTGATAAAGTTTCTTTGATTCCAACCTCAGCCAAGCAAAAGAGCTACAAATTATTGAGGACACCACATTCCTGGAGTGTTTGCTGGCTGCTAGTGGAGACAGCATTAGTGCTATTCTCTCAGACAATGTAACTTAAACAGCGGTGGCATCCATGAAGAAAGATCCATGGAACTCAACACTGCTCTGATTCATCCCGGGCTGTCAGAATGATTTCTTATATGTGGCAGTAGGGCTGCTGGTGTACGGTATGCAACACACCACTAGATATGAAGTGGTTCGTAAACCACATCCTAGAATTAGTCAAGTGTTTTATATTGCTTCTAATTTACTGATGGATTCAGAATGATGCATTTGTGTACACTTAGACCATATTTTATAACAAGGTCCACCTGCTTCATTTGTCTGACTCTATACTATTCATGTTACTAGCTGGTGGGGTACAAAGCATGCACTATACGCTATGTAGAACCTATCCATGAGACATCCTCAAACACAAAACATGAGATGTGAACTCAGTAGAGT